ATGTAAAAAAGACACGTATATCAACCTACGCAAGAGCTGTCTTCTGAAGCTGCCTAAAGATAACTGGATTGGGATCTGCTGCTGGGGTGGACAGAAGATTTTTAAAACTGTTGTTGAAAGTTGGTACTGTATATAGATTGTGGCAGCTGGATATAAAAGTGGTCTCTAATGTGATGATATGGACTTTCTCTGCTAGAAACCTTATTATAAAAATCTGATTATTTCCATTTTTGTTTTAAAGGTGAATTGCTGAATTTGATTTTCCTCAACGTCCCAAGTATCTTTTAATAAATGTGATGATATGGACTGCTACTGCTAGAAACCTTATTATAAAAATCTGATTATTTCCATTTTAAAGGTGAATTGCTGAATTTGATTTTCCTCAACGTCCCAAGTATCTTTTAATATCTTTTACAGACCACAGGTGCAACAAAATAATGTTTCTTTCCTTCAAGCTGTGCAAGTACATATAAATAATTGTATAAGCGCATGCATAAATAATTGCATTGATTTACAAATAATAGTTACAGGTTTGTTTTAATTCTGATCTCTCTGTTTCTGGATGACCTTTTTAGAAGATGTAGGACCAAAGGACTTTCAGAATGGTCCTGCAATTGTGTTAATAGAGAATACACTGCATTAAGCAGTACAATCTGAACAGTAAGAACTCAAATATTTTTTTTTTCCTACCTGGCTTGTTTATGTATATTTGCAAGGAAACAAAAGCATACAGTGTGTTGTCCTTTAACATTGTTACAGGCTAATTCCAATGAAATGCATCCTTCTCTTTTTTTAAACTCCCTATCAGCACAGCTTTTGAAACTGGAAAGTTTTTCTGTATACAGCCACAGGATTCAAGTTTATCAGTTTCCTTCCCTTTCATTTAATTGAAAGTTCACAGCACTTGCCCCGGTTCCTTCTCATTTAATTGAAAGTTCACAGCACTTGCCTCGGTTCCTTCCAAGACAAGAGTCTGGTACAAATCCTTCTGTACGCTGAAGGAATGTCCGAAGTGCTGGAATCACGAACCTTTTAATCCTGTAAACAACAGAAAATTGTTTTGAATCTCGCTTCCGCTTCAGGAGGGCTGGAATTTCTGATACTACAAAAGAAAATGCCCAAACTTGCCTACAGACAGCTGATGCCTGAAGCATCTCATGTGCTCGGCATAACCGTGTGCAGAATTGCTGCCTCGCAAGGGGTGGATTGCCAAACTTGCATGTGTTTCTGAGCTGTTCCGTGACTCTAATCAAAGAAAACCACAAGTATTGGGAAACTACAGAAATCTCAATAACAGAAGTTTTATTTTGGGCTAGTTCGCCCAATAGAACTGTATTTAATTAGATTTAAAAGTATAAGGTAAAATACCTTAGAAAACTGATTTGATAAAACAGATTGTGTTCAGATTGGAGATAAAGGTCTTAAGAAATAAGCACGGGTTGTGTCTGTGTAGTGTGAGGCTGTGTGGTTCGCTGCCACGCTGACTTTTAGGGCTCTCGCTCCCAGAATGGAAAGGCTGTGGCTGTGAGATCTGTAGAGCTAAATTTGTGCCAGAACTATTTCTCATTTAACTCTGTGGCAGGAACTTTAATGCCAAATCAAGTCCAGTCTCTTAGTCATGCTTAACTTTATATAGGAGCAGAGATGTGATATCATCTGTCCTTCCACAGCCAGTATAAACTCTGCATTGTTCTGGGCACCTCCCGCTCTGTCCTGGCTCCTTTCACAGATGGGCAGTTGCATGTCTGTGCTTGGTCTGGATCCGTCTTGTATTACTGGGTTATCTGATAGCTGGCAGACACTGAATCCATGTTCACAAATCCATGGCCTGGGTGTCTGTCTCATGCCCACTGTTTCGTTGTGGGTAGTCTGCATCAGAAAAGGGATTTCGGGTTTTGGATACATTGAAGTGCCTTGTGCTATGAAGTTCAGTCAATTTAAATTGATATAAGATGTAAGGAAGAAATTTTTTACGCTGAGGGTGGTGAAACTCTGAAACAGGTTGCCCAGAGAGGTGGTGGATGCCCCATCCCTGGAAACCTTCAAGGCCAGGTTGGACGGGGCTCTGAGCAACCTGATCTAGTTGAAGATGTCCCTGCCCACGGCAGGGGGGTTGGACTAGATGACCTTTAGAGGTCCCTTCCAACCCAAACTATTCTGTGATTCTTTGATTCTAAATTACTTTGTCATGCAGCGAAGCTTTGGTACTTGAAGAATTCTACCTGTAGTATTCTCTTTATTGGCAGAATAATGAATTCATGGTTACTGGCCTTTAGGAAATGATGCATTTATTTAATATTAGCTTTATGTTCTTTCACTCCTTTGTAGCTGCCGTATGTAGATCAGTAAGGCAATAAAATTAGCACTTTTTTTGAAAAAAAGAAGGAACTGAGAGAATCTTCCAGCATATCACGGTGGAAGAAATGCATCATTACAATTCCACGGCGTGGTGCTCACTCTTTCATTAGGCTTCCATTTTATGAGTATCTAAAGCTAGAGTTCTTTGTTTAGTGCTTGTTTTGGCTTGACTGAGTCTTAAGACTACAGTCTTGCATATGGTTCTAACAAAAGTAATCTTTGTCTCATAGCTGGATGTATAGGCTTAGGTCAATAGTTTAGTATGAATGTATACACTACCATAAATCTGGAAGTAAAAATACATGTATAGTGAAATTCTATGGTGGTTTTCATTGTAGGAATAAACCATACTGTTTCCTTTCAGGATTTACAGTTCCTTGCTTGGTCTTGTTTGGACATTTTAAAAATTAATGATAATTCATGGAAGATGATGTTTCTACTTCTAACTAGGCAGGAATTCAGATCTACTGTTTCGGGGGGGGTGGGGGGACCAGTAAAAATCTGGAAAGCTGCAATCAAAACAGTAAAGTCAGAAGCAAATGGATTAAAGGCCTTTTGAGTTGTGTTGGCACTTTTTCCTTTTTGAGAAGGTTTTTAGACTAACAGCTTGAGCTACATAAACTTGAAATATTTCTCAAGTGTTTGTTTATGTGAATTGCTTTCTAATGAGGTCATAGCTGTTTTCCCGGACACAGTGGTATTTCCTCCTCTTTTTTTTTTTTTTTATGCTGCTTTCTACATTATGCCTTGAAGACAGAACAGGCATATAAAAATCAAACATTGCTCAGGACACTTCCAAGTTTCAATTCTAATGCTTTACAATCATATTAAATGACTCGAGGCTGGAGCTCAGTATAAGCGTACGTGGAAAGAAATACTAGAGTCCCTGAAATGCTTTAGAGTTTTAAAGAAAACCCGTATCATTGTCAAGAGCAACTCAGATGAAAAGTTTTTAGCCCCCAAAAGTAAGAGGATTGGGGTGGGTGGAAAGGAATCTGCAGATCCTGAGTTTTCATTTAGATTATTTTTCATGTCCCATGTGAGATTGAGCGCTAACCAAAAAAGAAAAATCACCTGACCACAAAGTGGGCACAGTTTTCAGCACTATGTGGTGAGGCAGTACACATGTAAGTAAATAGTCTTTTCCATGTATTCTACAGAAATCAGCAACATAGGCGATTGTCCTTTCTTTCCTTTGCTGTGTTTATTTCGGATGTAATGAAATGTGATGGTTTTATCTACAGTTTGGTAATGTTTTTAATTTTGACTTTGTTGTTGAAATAAATAGCTTCCTGTTTGCAGAACCTTTGGCTTTTGAGACTGCTAGATTCGTAGCTTCTGAAAAAAATACATCTGTTTACTAGATATTGTTTTACTTCAGGTAGCTGTTTTCAGGTATCTTGGGCTACTGTCATAGAAGGCCAAAAAGTTTATTGTGAAGTGGGGAAAAGGGAGGAGGCTTAAGTCATTGAGTAATGTAATGATGAGACTGTGAAGTCATGATTTCCTAATGACTAATGTGGTGTATTATAGTTGAACATAAATTTGGAGTATTTCTTCTACAGTGTCTTGAGTCACAATGATTCAGCCCTGGGCTGTGGAGCTGCACAGTGTTGTGTGTGTGTCAGTTAGGCTGGTTGAACAGAATATGCTCTGCTGGCAATAGGTGGTGGAGGTGGAGGAAGGTTCGTATGTGTGGGGTAACTGCAAGGTCAAAAGCCCTAAGGAGACCTTATGATGTATTCATGATGTGTGGATCTGCTTCATAATCTGGAACCAAACCTCTTCAGTATTAAAAAAAATAATAATTAAAAAAAGGTGGTTAAATCTGCAAACTGTTTCACTGGTTTAACAAAACCATCTTTAGCATCTTTTTTTTCTTTTTAATGCTAATGAAGGAACTAGGTAATGTCCTTCCCAAAATACTTAGGAATTTTCAGAGGCTTTTAGTTTCCCACAAAGTTTGGATTTAATTACGCGTTAGGGCTCTGCTGTAGATGGAGGCATACAAGAAATAGTCGTCTTGTGTTTTTAAAACACTAAAGTGATCACATAATTTATTACAATTGAGGTTATTTTCTGTGGGGAGTATAGATGTGAGCTGACTAGTACAGCTCCAGGTTGCTTGAACTGAGAAGTATTCAGTTCTGCATAACAGATCATGCAGTCATGAAATCGTTTGTTGGGGTTTTTTTAAACATACCCCTATGGATTGTACAGCTTTAGTGCAATTTATCCACCTGTGTACTGAGTCCTACAGAAAGGAAGATTACACTTAAGAAACATCAGAAACTCTCTCCTTAAAGCAGAAAAATCTATTGCTTCATGTGCTGAAATTTGAAATAGCTTCTGGGTCATCCAGAATGAGAAATATTTAACACCTATGAAGAAATAGCAGTGCCTTAACCTTCCTTCAGTATTTTAATTTTTAACATGGAGACTTTTTAATTGTAAAGAATTGCTCTGGATATCTTTTTGAATAGCATTTTTTTTTCTTCTATTATTAAACCAGCCAATAAAATATACCATGTTCTTAAAAAAATAAATACTATTTCAGTTTAAAAAATGAAAGAAAAATCAGCTGTCTCTTGATATCTGTTTTTGTCAGTAACAACATGAGTTTAACTATTTCCCTCCTTCAGAAGTGAAGCCAACTTGCATATTTAACAGCATGGAATATTATGATGGAGACATGTTTCGAATGGATGCTTGTCGTTTCTGTCGATGCCAAGGTGGAGTCTCTATTTGTTTCTCTGCCCAGTGTGGTGAGCTACACTGCGACAGGTATTATGTGCCAGAAGGAGAGTGCTGCCCAGTGTGTGAAGGTACAGTGTCTTTCTAATCCTGTTTGCTTATTAATTCTGCTGCTTTTTTTAATTTGCTTTTTCAATGCAAATGAGCAAACAAGTGCTTTATTTTGTTCTTCTAAAGTTTTCAGGTTCCTCCTTAATTCAGTTTATTTCTACATTTTTGCTGTGTCTGAGTGTGCTGTCCTGTTTCTTGCAGTGCTTCTCTGATGTTGATGCTCTGCCCTTTTTATATAGATTTCTTTGGGTTTCCTTTCCCTTCTGCATCAGAACTTCCTCAGACATGGTCAAGTGTGCGGTACTTTTTGGGGGACCTTCTTCCCAAAGGACATAAGAAACTGTTCCTAATTTCTGCACCAGGTATTTAGACAGGCTTCTCCAAAGCAGCAGTGGTGGCCCTAAGGCACGTTTCCATTGCTTTGCAGCCTGCTTCTTCCAGTCTTGTTCTGTTCAGCTAGAGCAGTATATACACCTTCTCTTTTCTACAGTTATGGCAAAGAAACAGGGCAGTAATCTGACTTCAACGTTTTTCTTTTCCTCTTTTGCCCTATTTGACAGCCTTCTCCTCTGGTTGCTAGGCCTGCAGTCCTCCTAAAAAGGATTCTGTGGGAAATTTCATGCTGACCCTCTTGCTTACACTAGAAAATATTTGACGCGTCTTCTGCCAGAATACAACCAGGATTCCAGCGGAGGGAGATGGAGCTGGCACTCTGCACTTGGGTCTTGCCCCACTGCGGTCAGGTTACGGCCACGACATAGACAAAGGCCTGTGAAGCACTTCTGGTCCCTGTGTTTAAATGTGAACTTAGGAATGACTTCCCAATAAGCAAAATAAGCTGGAAATCTCAAGTCTCCTCCTAAGAGGAGGGGAATCTAATTGTTAATGTCACTTTCAGATGCTTTGTAGTGTACTTAATTTCAGTATTCCTGTAGCTCCTTGCAGGAGCAAATAAGCCAAATGGTCCATTATAGTTGTGCTTCGTTCCAAACAGGGAATTATGAAAGTAAAGAACCTCATAAAAATGAGTCTAAAAGAGGCAGCTGTAAGAGTTGGACCTTCTCAATCAGCACAGGATCTAGTGAAGGATAATGTTTTGGTGGCTTGTTTTGTTACAAACTATTGAAAACTTCTTCAGAGATTTAAAAAAACAAAATCTGGATAATGAAATATCAGAGTGGGTAAGGTAGGAAATAGGAAGTCATTCTTTAAAGAGTATTTGTATTTTTATATATTTTAGTGTATCAGTTCATATCAGGTAGTTTGATACATGGTGTTCACATGTAGAGAAGTTGAAATACAAATGCTGTAGGCTTAAGTATTCTGAAGAGATACCAGTCCATGCTTGCCCTGTGTTTAAGATCTGGTCTAGACATTCATTATTGACTATAGTTGGAGACAGGATGCTAGTCATCTTGGTCTTTCCTGGTACAGTTGTGCCTATGCTTTTAAGAGCCTTCAAGCTGTGGGGGAAAAAAGATTCAGTACTATATCATCATTTAATGACAGATTGAAAAAGTTTAGAGAAGGCATATCTGATGAGGTGAAACTGTTCCTGAGGAAGTATAGATCCACTCCTGAAGAAATTGCTGTATGAGCTGCTGACTTTATAGAATATGTGAAATCTGTTGTTTTTTCCTATAATTACTATTTTTTACATATGTGAATATTCTGAGGTTTGGCATTATGAAATCATTATGACAATGTATATAGATACATAAACAATGTATCTATATATCTGCTATATCTGGGCTGTCTGTATCAGCTCTCTCATACTCAGATGTGGATGCTGATTTTCCACATTGGACTTGCAGTTCTAGATATGTCCTTCATCCTCTTTGGTGATTTAAATACTCAGCTGTCTTATGATTTATCAATAAATTGTACTGCCATATCATACAGTGTTAAAAGCTGATTTTTCCATTTTTGCCACCTTTAAATCAGACTATTAAGAAAACCCGTTAACATTTCATTTTGGGATTGAGTTGGTGAAATTTCTTCTTAAGACAGGTCCTTAGTAGATAGAATAAAATGGATAATGACTTATAATGATTGAGTACAACCTTTTCCAAGTAATGGCTGTGATATATTTTCTGCTGAGCTGACTGAGATGCCAAGTTACAGAGTCTTTTATCAAATCATCCAGTGCTGTTTGACTTGCTTGTTTCTGTTGCATTCTTTTCTGATAGGGCTTGTAGCACTAAATCAAGCCAGCAGGTTGAGGGAGGTGATTCTGCCCCTCTACTCTGCTCTGGTGAG